TCCGTCATTTTCAATGACCTCTCTAATTGTGATCAATAAAGATTAATAATGATTATTTTTTTTCTAGCTCAACTGGACCCGCTATGTGTCTCTCGTCCTTGAAGAGACAAATGTTACTCTAGATTTTGACACAGACACTGTGGTTCTCATGGACAGTAGTTACTTTCACAAGCTAGCTTTACTGATAAGCTCAACAAACCACACTACATTAGGTAAAAGATGCTACTCTCATTTCTCATTTATAAGGAATACACGAGAAATAACAGCACTGACGTTGTCATACATTTTTATAATTTGTATTGCAGAACGTTTTGTCTGGTGGAACATATTTTCATCACTTGCCCCGCTTACATTACAAGAGTTTCGGGATCTTGGTTTCCGATTCACACAAAAAGTGTTTGGTTTAACTGAGAAAACTCCAAGGTAAAGTTGTGTGAATAGAAAGTACAACTTTACAAATTGAAGAGCTTTTTGTTATTCTTGTACTTTGATCTGATTCAGATGGAAACGATGCACTTCAAATGTCAACACCAATTTTGGAATGGCTGTGAGCTATCTGTATGTTCAAAAGCATTTCAATGACAAGTCAAGGAAAAAGGTGTGTAAACACAAATACCTCATATTTTGGTTTATAGATGTTTTAAAAAAATCTTTGCTCACTTAATCTTTTATTATTCTTCCTTTTTATTCAGGCTCTTGAAATGGTAAAAGATATTGAGGCTGCATTCACTGACATTGTGGCTGAACTACAATGGATGGACATGGAGACAAAGAACAGAACATTGGATAAAGTGCGTGCCATGAGACCATTTATAGGTTTCCCAGGATGGTTATTAACCCCAGGGCAATTGGAACAATACTTCCAAGGGGTAAGAAAAAAAAAACAATACTGAAGAGAAAAAACAGCAAAGCCTCTAATTATCTAATCTACTGCTCCAACTTGTATTTCTAGGCAGAGGTGGTGGAAGGAAAACTATTTGAAACATACTTGAAATTAATTGGCAGTTCAATGAAGAAAAGTTTAGATGATCTCCGTAAAGCTCCCGATCATGATCGGTAGGTAAACAATACACAATTGTGATTGTGACACATCATCTCCAACATTCACTAATATTGCTGTTTTTTCAACAAACAGGTGGGTTACAGCAGCAACCACTGTAAATGCATTCTATTCTCCAGTACTAAATTCTGTTAGTAAGTATGATGTAAAGAATGACATGTTTTTATCCAATACAAAGTCGAAGTAAGGAAATGCAAATCACACACACACACAATTTTTTTTCATTTTTTAACAGCTTTCCCAGCAGGAATTCTACAGCCCCCCTTCTATGGGCTTGGTTTAGAGTAAGTGTTTGTTTATAATTTAATACTTTAAGTATCAAATAAGTAAAGTCAAAAGAGGGACATCTCATAAAATATATTTTTCTTTTTTACTGCAGGGCATTAAATTATGGTGCTATAGGGTCAATAATGGGACATGAGTTGACTCATGGATTTGATGACCAAGGTATGTAAATTTAGGACGTGGGCAGTGACAATATGAACTAATCTTACTTTAAATTGGATTAAGTTATTGATTGGGTCCGATGGGTGGAGTGTGGTCAGTGAAGCCGAGGCTAAGAACTGTTAAACCTTCTGGATCAGGCCCCCTGACTGGGCCAGTCCATCGTGCTTGCGCAACTAATGAAGGAAGGGATGGAAAAAGTCAAAAGTTCTTTTGCATTACAGGTAGACGGTATGACAAGAATGGAAATCTCCAGCAATGGTGGACTGAAAGCACTCTTCAAGAATACCACAACAGGGTACAGTGCATTGTACAGCAATATGGCCGTTATCATGTGCCACAACTGGGACATAATTTCACAGTGAGAAATTAATTTTTCTTTCTTACTGCAAAATAAATTAACCAAAGTCAGTTGTTCTGGTACTTAAAGTTTTCTTCTTTTTTTTCTTCTTTGTTTTGCAGGTGAATGGAATTAACACACAAGGAGAAAACATAGCAGACAATGGGGGACTTCGTGAGGCCTGGAGAGCATACAGGCGGTTTCTTGACAGGCAAAGAGGCAAACCTCAACAGCCACAGATGGTGAATAGCAAACAAAACTCAATAACTTCTCCATCAAACCATACACAAAATGATACTGGTAAAGCTGATACTAAATACAAGGGGCAAATGCGAATTGCCAAAGTCCGGCAAGATGAGCAGCCTCCACAGCAACATGGTACAGTGCGTCTACCAGGACTAAGCCAATATTCACCAGAGCAACTCTTCTTTGTTGGTTTTGCCCATGTAAGTTCATGATTAAAAATAATGTGTTCAAAGGAAAAATATTAGTCAATTACCACATATTTTTCTTGCAGATGTGGTGCGGTCATTCAACACCAGGTGCATTGAAATCAAAATTAGTGGAAGGAGTTCACAGTCCAAATCGTTTCAGAGTGGTAGGCACACTATCTAATTCCAAAGAGTTTTCTGAAGCTTGGAATTGCCCCAAAGGAAGCCCAATGAATCCAGATGAGAAATGTATTTTGTGGTGAAAATGAAGGCAAAGACAATACTCCGCCATTTTGGTACAGTTTATTTCCTGAGGCTTGTCTTGTGAGCTACAGTTGGATAAACATGTCACAATGACAGAAGTTTGCTTAACCACCAGTATAGGCTGCATAGGTAAATTTCTTTAAATTTGCCTAGAATGGAATTTGCTGATATGATTTACCTTCCAAGCACCCAAGCAGAGACCTAGTTAATTTATTAAAATTAACACTTCGTGTATAAAATGTGATTTGGCTGTGTCTTTAATACTGGAGACTGATTAAGTATATGCTATGGCTCATGAGTGTGCAGTACCTGTGCCAATGTATAATGCAATCATCTTAGCTGCAAAAGCAATTTAATTAATACAATAGAAGAACCAGCACAATGTTAAAATGTAGCACCATAATGAGTCACCATACCAAGAAGATTTTGGTATGTAGGGGGACTAGAAATTTTTTAGTAAGTTCAGTATGGTGATAAAAGTTTTAAGAAACTATCATTCATTTTAAACTGTACGAAGCAAAATATTCTTATGACCTTCATATAATATTATGAAGGGAAGGATAAGTTAAAAGCACAGAAGATTCGTCACAGGTTTTGATGTTACCCCAGATTTGTTTGCAACATTTTTCATGGACTATGTTCCTACATTTTGTTGTAATTTTTCTGTCTTTTGTATTCAATATGGTCCACCAGGATACATGTACATACAGTATTACTTTTACTTAACCCACAGTTTTGTTATAAGAACATAATTTTAAGAATAGAGTAGTTCAAGTTCACAGTGATGTAATAACTCTTATGGAGAGTTGAGTTTTGTGTGAATATTAACTCCATGAAGGATGACAGTGATAAAGAAGTGATTTTAAATTAGATAAATGAAAGAAATAAGTTATCTATTGGATTGGAGAAGAAACAAGAGATGAATTTTACCAAATTTATCTCTCTTATAACATAGGAACTCAAGGGACCAACTACTGATAGAGATAGTTTGTATTGAGGACCTTAAACGGGTTTCACTGGTCTATCACCAGATGTATTAGCCACAAAGTACCTCAAAGCTTGATACTTATCACTTAGAATGTTTTACTTGCCAACCATATCATATTCACGTAGAAATGCTTAAATTGTAAGCAGAAACATCTTGATATCAATGGCTACCGTCTATTTGATACATACCTTGATATCCTTAAAAATTTTGAACTATTTGTTATTTAATCCTCCTAGTCTACATTAAGCAGTAACCACTTAAGGGCCATTGCATAATAATGAAGTGTTATGATTCCCATGTAGTTGTGACAAAATAGACAGATTTTATAAAAATAAAGAAAATGTAAGGAAACAGAATATTATCTAAAGAAAGAAGATTCTTTTAGACTCACTTCAATTGATTGTTTGTAATTTAAATTTAATCAATTTTTAATGCATTCAGTTGCAAAATGTGAATAACAAATTTGTTTCTGTGGGGATATCACCTACTTGCTGTATATACCGCCAACGAAATGTACTATTGAAAATACAATACAGATGATAATTTTTAGTGTCAGGTCATCTATCTTCTTGTCAATGAAAATGCTTCAAACAGTCACATAATATTTTACAGAAAGAAAACCCTTTCTTGGTGCAAGTCTGCCCTACTTGGTAAAATTCATGTAGATGATTTGCTCCCGGAACACAGTTGACACAATGCAAAGTCTTCGAGCTATATGTAATTGAAATACTATTCTAGAGGAGTTACATCCCATCGACCCGCATTAAAAGATCTCACTTTACTAGTTTTATGTTGGTTTGAAGTTGACAAATTCTGGGATTTAGTTCCTTTCTTAGAAATCTTCTTTGATTTGGGAGAAGAACTAGTGTCTACTGAACTATTTACCTTGGACAAGGACTTTTTGTTGCTATTTCTGGATATTTTACCATCAATAATTTTTCTCTTCTTGGACGCAGTTGGCTCAATGATCTTCTCTTTAACACCAGTATTCCTGAAACACAGGGACGTAAACACGTAAATACTTAAAATACAAGATACAACAGAGGGAATACTGTGAGCCACAATTACTTCAAATACAAGTATTACTTTGATAAAGTTTTCTTTGATGGAACTTCATTTTCTTTCTTCACTTTTAACTCTTTTTCCAAGTCCACAAAAGTCATACAAGTTATTCTACACCCAGTGCCAACTTCACAAACTTTTGTTACTTCTGAGTCCTAGAATTAAAAAATAAAAATATTGGTCAAGGGGATTGTGAAATGCAAAAATACTACAAGCTTACACATACCGGTACTGTATTTTGACTTACCTCAAGTTCCCATAGACATATTCGACCACTACCCCCAGCAGTAACAAAGTGAACGGCAGTGCGGGATCCATCTTCAACAGGTCCTACATATTTAGCACATTTCACACGGCGATCATGAGCTTGAAATCGAGCTATTTCTTCCTTTTTACCCTCTTCACCCTTTACTGAAGGTGGTTCAAGCTTGTGGATGGAGGCTTCTCCACTTTCTTCTCCAACTAAAATAATATCATCCTGTTAAAAACACATAACAAACAAAGTCATCATAGGATAAGATCAAATTACATGAGAGCACTGGTGGCATTGTGAAAAAAAAAAAATTATAAGGAAAATCATTTTTGACTATTAACAACTTACATCTAAAAATGCAATGCATGTGACTCTATTACTACATGAGATAGTATGAGATACACCAGCAATTTCTACTGAGTAAACCTCTGCATGACTGGACATAAAGGCTGCATAAGAAGATCCAGATGGAGACCACTGCACATCACCAACTCCCCAGCCATGACGACAACGGCTAAAATAAAAAAAAATGGAATAAAAATTATAATTACACATGGTGAATAAATACATAAACTTAAATGTCATTCTATCATTCTACCTTGACACATTGGTGATATAAGCTTTACGCCCTTTCACTAAATTCCATGTGACTATTTTGTTGTCACTTCCAATAGAAAGGGCCAATTTACCACTTGGATGAACAGATATACCTGTGACAGCTAGATTAAAAGACACATGGAAGAATTAGACTAGACCCTTGACATAATTGTTCTAAGCTTACATGTTCAAAAGCTACCTGAACCACTGTGAGTTCCAACCCATTTCTTTTCTGTGAACCATGAACCAGTACGAATCACAGCTATTGTTCCATCTTCACCAGCAGTGATAAGATGTGATCCATTTTCTGTGAATGCCAAGGCATGAACAGTACCTATAAGAAAAATATATGAAGACTAGGCCATATGGGTAGCATGTTAATTGTAGAATGAAATACATAATCTTGATATACCTTCATGGTGATTTAAAAGCCCTGATTCAACTTGATTGACAATATCATAAAGACGAACTGTTTCATCAGTACTACCTGATGCTAGATGCACACCGCCAACAGCAAGTGAACGTACACTTGCTCTATGCGAGTGGCATGCAAAGGTTTGCACCAAGGTCAGTTTTTTCTGAAAAATTACATTGGAGTATTAGTTCAACCACAGCAGTAGCAGTAAGCACGAGTTTTAGACAGAAATAAAAAGTAAAGAAGTACAACTATTCAATCAAAAAATCAAATTATTTTTGTTATTGAGACAGTAAATTTCACATTATCTCAACAGTTTTAAAAAGATGTAGATGTTTTAAGTTCAAATCATGTTAGGTTCGAAGCAGACGAACAGAGGTTAGGTTTAGAACATCTAATTTTACGTCAAATTCAAAATGAAATAAAAAATAAGAAATAATTGAGTGTGAAGAACTTACTTCATGGAACTCATCAGGAACTATGGCATATCCAAGAACGAATTCTTCATAGGTGCCCACAACAATTAAATTTCCAACTTTCGCCATGCCGATTTGTTTTCGTCAAGTCGTCAACAACACGGTCGGAGTCGGAAACAAAAACAAAACATGCATGTCGACCACCCGTGAAATCATTCAGAAATAAAATGTTTTCTGCCCCTGCCTAAAATTTAAATTTTTATGAAAATCAGTTCTTAGTTTTATCAATTTGACATTAAAATAAGGAGTACAAGAAGCGGGTTACTTATCACGAGCTTCTACGATATTGTTTAACAATCAAAAGTTGCTTGCACTGACAGCATCTGGTGTAACCGTCCCGCCACCGCGAGTGCCAAGCATGGACGGACAAGCTGAAGAAGGAAATCAGCAGATGATCAGACAGTGACGGTGGAAGAAGACACGGCAGCTTCTTTGTATCCCACTTGCCAGGCATAAGGCACGAAGTGTTTTGGAAACTGCGACTTAGACACTGTTTATATTTTCGAAAGGTGTGGTGTGGTGCAAATCGGAGACAAGTCATGTATGACGGACCATCCTACGACCACTCGGCACCTAGAGGTGCGAGCCAACCTGGTAAGTTGAGGTTTGAGTGCAATCTCAATACAAGTGATCAGTATATTGTCCTCACGATCGTAGCAATTATTGAAATGGCATCGCCGTCCCCGACCGACTCACAGACCCCGAAATGTACACTCACACGCCCCCGCCCCGTACGAGGGCACCCCCGTCATCGCGCGGTACTCTGTACCCAGTGGGACTAATTTGAATTTTGTAGTGCCAATCTGAAGAAACGTGCGGATGACGATTTGATGTGCCTCTCACTATTTGTTTTCTGATTTCAGCTCGGCCAAAGATGTCAGTAAACTATCCCCCAAATGAAAACTACCCTAACCTCATGTATGGTCAAATGACCCAGCCAGCAGCCGGGCCCGGGCGGACGTATTACAGTTCTGAGTACGTCAGATTAGCGTCGACGGGCATCAACACTCGCTGAGCAGATCTGCAACCCTGTTTACGTTCTAACTTCTGCGTTAACTTTTCAGAATGCAAACTATGCAAACCGACCGGAGGCCGTTACAGCAAATCGAAAATCCATCTCTTATCGGGAACGTCGCCCAGAGACACCAACAGAAAGTGGCCCAAACTGTGAGTCTAAATTTCAAAAATACCCCCCCCCCATACACGCCTATGCAAACTTGAGCCAAATCTTGAATCTTAAAGAAATCTCTGACTTTAACAGTTACATGGCTACTCTCAGCCGCAAATGTGCCAACCGCTGGAGAGACAACTGTCAGGCGAACGGCCCTACAGTCAGGTCCTTAGCCCCAGCGAGTCCATGGGGTATCAGCAGCACGGTACAGGGTACTACGGTGGCCCCTCGAGCTACCCGATGGACGTCTACTCGCAAGAGTCGCGTCCGCACTCACAAGCGTCCTATGGGAGCGGGTCGGTTATGCCCGTCATGGACAGCCAGCGCCGGGGGTACGCTCCCGAGGTGGGGCACCCCGTCATGTACTGCGAACAGCCGCCGGCCGCGTACTCCAACTTCACGCCCTCGTTCACCGTAAGTAGCGCTTCATTTCAAATGATCCCGCCCGCCGCGGTGGTTTCCGCGTTGACGTTGACGCGGTTCACCCCGGGTGACAAGAGATGGCGCCACCGCCCAGGGTCACCCGGGACCCGGGCCGTTCATAGTCGGGCGACTGTGCACGCGAAGGGTCTACGGCCTTTTGTTGTGCGGGGTCAGCGGTATCAGCTTTAGAACGGTCGTGGTGTCTTTTAGCTCGCGCGGCAGATACGCTACGCCGGCTGTGTTATATCCTTACCGAAATCTTTCAATTGTCAAGACTGTACTTCACAGGATCGTTTCTGTAGTACGTCTTCACTTCTCTCTACTCAACAGTAGAGTCAATGAAACCACGAAGATGAGACGTAGTCCTTCCCCCTGAGCGTGAGGCCGTTGCAACACCGAGATCACTCGGAGATGTGACATCGATGATCGTTCACCTTCTCTACGGAGTCGGCTACGGGGGTAGGGCTCTCTGAGTGGTTCCATTAATATCCGATCATTATATCATTGCCACGTAATACATTCATATATCCTGTGAGAACTTGGATGATCTGTTACTCTTGCTCTCCTTTTAGAGCTCTCCCACCAACTTGACGCCACCAGTGCAACGATCTTATGATCGTCAGAACTCTTTCCGCGTGGAGCCCGTATCAGTCGCAGTCGCTGAACATCAGAGAGGTCCCCCTCAGACGCAACCACCAGCGTATCAACATCAACCTCCACCGGGTCAAGGGCCGCCAGGGCAGTGGGCGAGACCCACGGGTTTGGTTACTTTCGCCCAGCCCACCCCCACCACCCCTGTTCCACCACAATGGCCGGTAAAGCGTACAAAAGACCCCCTCCCTTTCTCCTCTTCCTCCCCTTCACTGAAAAACCACGTTTCACTCCCCAGACGCCGAGCCGCTCTCCAGCACCGCACACCAGCTCTACCGGCCTCTCCGCCAACGCCAAGCCGTCGACGCCGTGCCCCAGCCCGCGGACTACAACGCCCGCCCTAGCCAAGGGAGCCCTCGCGACCGGCTCCTCAACCCCCTCGACCTCGGTGACCTCGGGTGGGTCGGAGCGAGGGGGGTTCCGCAGCAGGCAGGTGGCGGCCCCCGAGCGAGGGATCCGCGTCCTCACCGGCATGGTGGACAACATCCTGACCTGGGGGAAGAAACTAGACGAGGGGGCTCGTTCTGAAATACTTTTCGAGATCGTAGGTGAGTCGAGAAGACGGCGGCTGCTACACTTCCGCTTTATACGTTATCCGTTTTAACCAAACGACTGCAATTTCGTTTGACGTGTTGACCGCGTGGTGGTCTTCACTCACTGCCTCGCCACACGCACTCTATGCCTTGAGAACTTATCTTCTCCCTTTGATCAGGTTGCTTGGACTCGGTAGTGACCGGTCAGTGGCACAGCTCGCGCCTGGTCTGCCTCCGCAGCCTGGAAACCGCCAACACGCTGACGGCGGTCTTCTGGGAGATCGACGCCCCTCTCTTCCCTCCGCCCAACGGATCACTCGTCGCGTAAGTACCTAATCCTCCCCCCCCTCCCCCTCCCCCCAGTGTGCCAGTGTGTAGGGAAGTAGAACATGTCCGACCTGCTCCAGGTGCATATGCCGCCTTGGGGTCAAGTGGCCGCAGAAGCTGCCGGCGTCCCGTCGGATGCCCCGCATGCACATGATCAAGATGAAGATCGTGAGCCCGGGCCAGGTGGCCAACTACAAGCGCCTGGCCTACGTCAGCAGCCAGTCGGTGCAGCACGGCGCGCTCTCCCCCGCCCCGACGGACGCCGACAAGCAGCCCGCAGGCTCGACATCGCCAGCGCCCCTCAAGCAGACCCTCATCAGCTCCTACGGGGGCCAGCGCAAGCCCGGCACCTCGCCAAGCCCCCAGCAGCGCTAGTCCTGGGGCTGCTCTCAGCTCCACGGCCTCGCGTCGTGCGACATGTGCGAGTGCTATTGAT